TGCTTAACCCGTATACCRTTCCTTGAAGAAAATAGCTGCTTGCGTTTTTCCCGCCTCTATGTATCTCAGCGTTCTTTTTATTTTTTAGTTCCTATTTCGTGTTTCCCTGCTTCTGTTGTAGTGGGGTATTGTTTGTTTTCTTTGTTATTTCGTTTTGGTTTTGGTGACCTTTATTTTGTTCATCAATSTCCAGAGCAATTCTTGATTTTTTTTGGTGGTCGCTTTTTGGCCGTGACTTCATTCTCCATTTTTTCAGCAACCTTAACGYACTCCAGTTCGAGTTCCTCCTCGTTATCTGAAATACAGTTTATTTATTGCGAAAAAATATATTACAGTCAAAGAAGAAGTTAATCACCACTGCCCTATAAATAGTTAAGACTAATCGAGGCAGGACAGTGGTTTAGAAGAAAATATACMAGAATATTCGTATTCTTATTACAATTAATACTTCGAGACGAATAAAAGTAAGAAAAATATTTGTCAAAAAAAGGCAAAAAGCTACTAAGAAATGAGAAGAATGGTTTCCAAGTGAGAATAGAAGATTAGGGTTATGAAAACTAAGCCAGATTGAGCCAGATATAACTTGAGACAAATAAAGAAAAATAGAATTAGTTATTTAGATTTAGAAAGGATCTGCATAAAATCTGGGACTTCAACATATGATTAGGGAAAAGCAGTTCATACAAGTCTTTGGGTACAACTTCATCTGAATTATCGAGGCAAGCTGCCTCAAGAACTATTAAAGAGAAAAACAGTTCTTAAACCTGTTCTGTTAAGAATTAAGAAAACAAAAAGTTCTGAAACAAGAAACAACTAAGAGTTTTGTATGTAGCTGTTATCATCCTATCATTCTATGGACAGTAATTTTGTTCTTTAATACTCTTGTATTCTCTTGGCAAGTTGCCTCGTGAAAAGGAAAGCAGTTCTTACAGCTGTTTTGGTAGCTGACATCAAATATATATTATACTGCTACCAGAAAACAGGCTTCTTCTGTTAGGCTTCTTGTTCGAAGCGACCCACAACGTATTTCACCCTCCATAGATATGTATATGGGCTCCAGTTCTTGAATGTTTGGTCCAGACCCAATTATTCTTGGAGCCCCAATTGATTCTATTTGTTCGTCCAAATCTCCCTCTGCAGGCTGTACATGAATTAAAAGAATAAAAAGAAAAGCATTTATGCAAAATATATGCAACATATGTAATTAAATATGTAAAGCCGCACCGCACATCATTCTAATATATAGTCCAGCTGTTATTGACCAGAATTGTTCACTTTAATGATAAAAGCACGAAACCTGGCCAGATTACTAATATCCCTAAGAGAAACAATTTTGGATATGGCGCCAACCCAAATTTGCGGTTATTGTTGAGTTCTGCTCATGCCTTAAATGTACAACATGAAAGCGAGGCTGCAATCTTAAAGCTCTCTTAAACCTCTTCGTTTATCACTTTTTGACCAGACAACTACATGATAATAATAGAYAATACATTTGATTCACTCTTGTTTGCAATTTATGTCACGTGACTGTGTTGAAGYAAATATCGGCTAAATGTGTGGGATCCCTGTGGTGAGTCATAATAAATTCACCGGTTTTTCGTATTTCGTACCTCTAAGTAAACAGCGCGACTTAAGTATAACTTAATAACAATCAGAATAAGATTGAAAATGATTATGTTCATTRCCGAAAAATGAGGTCTTAGGCGCAGTTTCCACCACAATTACACAGACCTGTGCATGCCAAATTAGCCTTTGAACATTTGCACCGTCCACCACATCCAAGCTTACATMCGCATTTGATAAGTTCGTAACAAGTATCCTTTGCTTGTGGAAGAGATGTCCAGTACGGTACCCAAGAGTGTTCCTCGTCTTGCTTCCAAACCCAATCACAAGGAGATGGAACCACTGGCTGCGTCACTAGAGTTTGGCCCCACACATATGCTCCTTGGTATATGGCTCTCTTGACTTGGAGGAATGTATTCAAGGCTTTTTGACTTCTTGGAGAATAATTCTTGCCTCTGCTTGTTGACACTACTAAGACTGATTRTTCGGTCATATAAAAGGATCACAAACCGCTCGATCGTAGCCATTAACAAATCATTATYGATGTCATTAGGTGTTGCAGACAGAGCTCTGAGCACTGGCGTTAGTTCAGGGAAAACGTTCCACACATCCCACGCCGTTTTCTTTCCACGCCCATAGAAAAATGACACTGTATCGCATCCTGTTATGGATGAAACATGGGTAATGCTGAAAATTTCTCTTGTCCTAATGTTTCTGCTATGGAGTGCACAGGTAAATATGCAAGTGTCTTTCCAGAACCGTATGCGATCCACAGCTCATTTGCCTTAATGGTGTGAGCAACTGAAATGGCCAACGCGACCACATCCGTWTCACTACTTCTGATCTTTATTTGATGATGGCCACAAACACATGCATCCATTGCATGAAGCATCAAGTGAGTGTCGGCCTCTTCGTGGGTACAGGGTGCAAGGTTGTCTAAATCCATTCTATTAGATGATGTCAGTACATTTTGGCCATGTGTCGTATAGTTTTCCTTGCCATAAGGAATTGCCAGTGAAACCACCTTAAAAGTATGTGGAATATTATAATTTGTTATCATCAAGACAAGTTTTATTCCATCATAACATTTTTGTCATAACAATATCTCTTACCTTGCTTGCAAGAAGTTTAAAAAGCTCATCTTTGCTGTTGTCCACCCGAAGAAATCCTTTCCAATCAATAGGTATCAATGTTGATGAAAGAACCTTTTGCCGTTGTCCAGAGCCTCTTTTTTCTCGTGTTGAACTTTTCAAAGAATTCTGTCGATAGTCATCCCATACGACGTCAACTCTGCTTGCCATCTCAAGCTGTTTCAGGATATAAGGGGCAAACACAGTATTGAAGTATTCCTCAAATGTAAGCGCTGTCTTCGGTGGTAGCATTTGGACTATAACGGCCCCATCAAGAATGACGGCATCAACGGTTGGCTTTTCCATAGTCTGTACTGTTGCATTGCGAAGACATTTGACCAAATCTGCTTTCTGCCCTGCTCTGATCTTTCCAATTTGTGCGAGTGGTAGAGGCCAAGGCTGGTTCTCAAATGCAAAGAATTCTTCCAGATTTCCATCACGACTTTRACAGGCAATATATAGCCTAGAAAACAAAGCGCAGTCCTCCTTCAATTCTTTTACTTTCGCTTTGTCTTTCAAAATAACCTTCTTGGACTGGGTGCTAAAGGTTGGGAGGTTGTTCTTTTTTAAAGGGTCAGTAATCGGCTTCTTTCGGTTAATAAATCGTTCTTTCACAAAGGTTTCGAATTGTTGTTCTCCGATTTTCTTCACATCTCGCACGGTCTTAACGGCAGCATTCATCRCGTCCTTTGTATGGATTGCCATTAGCTCTTCACCTTCTTCTGAAAAAGGGCTTCCAAACTCCTCAAAAGCTGCCACCAAATTTCCAACATCTTTAGCAAATGCACTTTGCACACCTGGCTTTTGCTCATGGTGTTGCTGGTCTTCAGCTGTGAATATGTTGCCCTCAAACTCTTACACCATTCTTGCAACCTCTGTGCCTGCTACCATTCATCTTCTGAGAGCTGCAGGGCTTTCTGTAAGTCCCACTGCGCCACCTTCACCTTTCACCAYAGCGTTGACTTGCTCGTGTGCATGGTCTAGGRCTATTSATGAAAATACCTTCTTTGTCTTGTGCACCACGAAAGAGCCGTTTGTAAACTGTTGATGCACATCTGGATGCTTAATCGCAAGTTCAGACATGTCACGATAATGCACAGAAAGCCACCGAGCGTAGTTAAGATGGTCCAATGCAAAAATCCAAGGTAAAAGCTCCTTTATCGCCTTGATGTAGGATGCAAAGTTGGCTTCCCTAAATGACGTCACGAGGTAAAGACAATTGTGGGATCTTCTTTGACATTTCCTCTTTCCACTCCTCCATTGGCTTAGCTACTTCATTCCCTGTAATATTGGCAGTAAAGGCGTTGTATCCTTTGATCATAAGAATATAAAGACTTGCTGCRGTTACTGGATGTGCAYGTCGAGTGCGGGTGAGATGTTTTACCGCTATGAAAGAATCCGCAACACCTTGCGTAGCAACTCCAGCATTGCAAAGAGCTTGTGTCCAACCACTGCCAGTCAACCACTTGCCAAGCACCTTGAAGGCTGACATTTCTATGTGGAGCCCGCCAAACATGAAAACAAATTTATCTTCATTGTATTCATGACCAATCGTCCACTGAATTTGTTTGGCCAGAGCAAAGAGAGGTTGATCTAAAGCAATAACTTTAATTTGGGTAGGGTTAACATGTTCTACAGCAGATTTGATCACTTTCATAGAATGCGCAATCATTGCCAGTGAATGGGCATTTTCCAGAAACATGGGTAGAAGTGAAATGATGGCAGGTTCGTAACATGGCATCGTTGATTGTGTTGCGMGGTATGCAGCCCAGGAAACTGAGTCATCTTTATCAAGTTCTTCCTTAGAGAGGAGTTCTTTAGTATTTCTTAGCCAGTCGTTTTCATAATCACTTTCTTGAATTGCAGTTAGTTAACTGTACGGCAATTTCTGGGGCAAAAAACTCAGCTGGAGGTTGGGCCAGTGGTTGTACTTCACTGTACGATGATGGTAGTTGGACTATCTTCTTGGAACTAGAACACGTTATGGGGTCAAAAGTATCGATGGTTCTACAATATCCTTGTTCCTCGGTTATAGAGTAGTCAAGTGTGACGTCACGTTGCCATGGAGCTAAAAAATGCTGTTCTAAACAACTCCTTCATGCCAGGCGCCATTAGCGTGACTGCTTTGTTGTGAAGACTTCAGCTCTATTTAATTGCTAAAACAATCGTCTTTACCAAAGAAAAAGACTTGAATTAGTTTAATTGGGACATACTGTTTAAATAGTTTTGAAAAAAAATAAAATCGCTTGAAAGACTGAAGCAATAATTGACGTCTAAAAGTTGCCGTAACGAAACTTCGAGGAAAACATGGTTCAGTGCTTTGCTCCTGACTGCAATCACGCTTCAGAGAGCCATACTTGCAGGTTTTTTGGATTCCCAAGTAGTACAAAGAAAGTAGAAGATTACAAGCGGTGGATTAAACTCTTAAGGTAAGTTATTCTTTATTAATCGCACAATTCCGCGCTCAGAGATATCGCGGACCAGAACGTTCAAACTAAGAGATTGTAGCGTCGGGGTTYCGCTTTATTTCATACTAAAACAAGTTATTAATTTTATAGACGAGCTGACAGATTTCCAGGCAAGCATTCACGAGTTTGTAGCTTCCACTTTCGAGACGGTATCAAAGAAAACGGACCGGAGATTTTTAAGAGAAACGCGACTTCTCTGTTTCTACCCGATGATTACTCAAAGGCAAAGAAAAGCAAGAAGGTAAAGACATGCGATTCAAACGAACAAGAAACAATCGCAGAGATGGTAGAGAACTATAAGGAAAAAGAAAATGAATGCAACAAAATTAAGGAAAGACCCTCTGTCACAGAGATTGTTCTTCAAGCAGAACTAGAAAGTAAATCACGRGWATTAGAAAGCTRCAAAAAGAGAGAGAATTATCATCGAACTCATTACAGTGTCTCTACCTTGAGCCCCGAGGTAATAAGAATGGAGACTGGACTCCCTACAAAAGAGGTTTTCGATATTGTAGTTAGTTATGCCTTAAGGTTTAAAGAATCAATTCGTTATTTTTATGGTTGGACAGTTACTTCGATTTCTTTTGAAGATCAGATATTTATAACCTTAATGAAAGTGAGACAAAACTACACCAATTTGCACCTWGCTCAATTATTTTATTGCAGTGTGGCTACGATTACCAATATTGAAATTACTTTTTTATACGTTTTACACGAAATATTATTTAGAGATGTTATGACAACTATTCCCTCACGGCACAAGAATAGCACTTGTACACCATCTTCATTTTCAGGTTTTGCTTCTTGCAGAATTGTCATTGACTGCACTGATATTGAGGTTGCAACCCCAAGGCTAATGAGCCAGCAAAGTGCAACTTATTBCAGTTATAGGGKGATGAATTCGTTTAAGGTTTTAGTTGGTGTTGCACCTAATGCAGTCATTACTTATGTTAGTCCTCTTTTTCCCGGGTCAATATCAGACAAAGAAATTGTTGACAGCTCASGGTTTTTAAAGCACTTAGAGGCAGGGGACTTGATTTTAGCAGACAAGGGATTCCTTATTGAAAATATTGTCCCAGTTGGCGTCTCTGTAAATATTCCCCCTTTTTTAAATAATGGAAGATTCACTGAAAGTGAAGCTAAGGCAACCAAGTCAATTGCTAAGTGCCGTATTCATGTTGAAAGAGCCAATGCTAGGCTGAAAGATTTTAAAATTTTGAGTTTTGTACCTTCTTATCTTAGATGTCATGCAGATATTCTTTTTCAGTTGGTTGCTGCATTRGTAAACCTTCAATTCCCTCTTATAAAAGAGGTCTGTGAAGGGACAAATTTTGACTAGAAATTTTTTTTTCCAGGGTGCAGAATTCCAGGTTTATAGTATTTAAATATTTTTTTAAATTAAAGTTCTATTATTCTATTATTTACAGTTTTGTTTGTAAAAAAAATATGACAAATGTATAACTATCTTGAAATAAAACACTATTAAAGTTCTCCTTCTGTTATTTTGGGRAAAATGTGAAAGTAATAGAAATCTGTAAGTACATCTATATTGGCTGCCCATTCTTCATCTCTCTTTATGGTTATTATGGCTGCATCTTTAGTGGTCCAGACCACAAAGTAACAGTATTTTCTCTTTGTGAGGAACATTTGGCCTTGGACCTGATGCCAATACACATGGTCTTGCTTGAGTGTAATGTTTTTATCATCATCTGATTTAAGGCAAAATGAATCACTCTTGACAGCTTCCGTTATGGTCTCATTTCTCTGGGTGTATGGGCATTTCACCTCCAGCACATGCTGTTGACCAACAAGCCCATCAGGGGAGGCACCAAGCACACCACTCTCGTCTAGCCACAAACCAGTCTCTTCCACAGGTAGGMCAGTTTGAGACACAAAGTACTTGAYTGCCTCTTTTTCGTTATTCATACCCCACTGAACTGCTTTAACCCTTGACAAGTCGTATTCTCCCAAAAGGCGCTTTAAAAGGGACGGTGTTACTCTCTTACAATTCAGTACACTGCCAAAGTTGCTTGCAGTCAAGCGGCCCTTTCTTGCTAGGTGCCAGGAAGAGTTTTCTCTCTGTCCTATGGTAAGRCTGGTGACAACATCTATGACATTCACAGATACTTTGGCTTTCTCTTGGATGTAGGCAATTTGGTTAGCCTGACCGTCAATTTCTAAAAAGTCTTCACAAAATATCAACTCTTCTATGGTTGGGATAGGCAATGGCTTTGTGTGTGGAGGCTCAGGACTTAATATCCACCAGAGTCTTGTGAATGTGCCATACTCATGCAGCTTTGAGAATAAATAGTTTCTATCTTCTTGATCTGGGGCTCGAGATAATGCCTGGTATTTCTTGCTTGGAGGAAACATTTCCGTGACGGACTGTGGTGTAGTGTTTGTTGCCTTTTTCTTCTTCCACGAACACTCAATGTCAGTTCTACTCAAATTGTGAATACCATGAATAAATAGTGCCTCCGCATGACTGCATTTAAACTCTCCTCTTGGGCATTCACATTCTGTCGATTTTATGGCATTGCTGTCGCTAAGATATATCTATGATGAAATAAAAAAGACCAAAACAATAAGTCTTCACTAGAGTGAGCGGCCAGCGAAGTGTAACAGACGATCTACTATGATTATGTAGCCCGTAACTTCTATGTGGTCCTACTTGAAATTATTCCAAATCACTTCACATTAGAGTTCTATTTATGAAAATCAAATTTATCAGTTATTGATACATATAAATCAAAGAATAATGCTGAGAAAATGAGGACTGAAGACGTGATTGYTTATACGTCAAGAACAATATTTTGAGTCGCTGAACTTACCGTAACTTTATACGATTTCTGCTTCATACTAGCGTGAACTTGACCTCTAATTACACCGTCATGCTATTGAAAAGTTTCTACATGTCCAGAATTAAAGTGGTTTCTTCCTCTGGATATAGATTTTTGCTCTCCAGAGAAGAAAGAACTAAGAGACGCGATTGACAGAGCCGCCATCTTGGTTTGTTTAGAACAGAAAAATCGGTAGCCAGGGTAACGTGAYGTCAAGGCTTGACCACTCTATTGGATGTTGCACCAGCGAAATTGCGGTACCATGAAAGGAGTCATGCGCGCTCGTTGAGCTCGGGTTATGGTCAATGTTGTCGACCGCCGCAGTAATGAAAAGTCCCTCCCTGAGATTCGCAGGACATACAGCTCCTTCACTTTCATATCTTTCGATGACACTGTTGGTGATTTCAGTATTGATTGAAAGCAGTCTGTCATATGATATACACATCCCCATTTTGTAAAATCTATCAATGAGACCTTTGTCTCTAGTTGATCCATGAATTTTTAGTGCAGTAGAAATAGGTAGAGGACACTCTCTAGATCTTATATGATGAGTACTACCTGTAGACCCTGGTCGATCACGAGCTCGTGAGATACTATTAAAAAGAATAAGTTGGGYGACAGTAAGGCATGCTTGGCTGTCAGCTGGTTCTGCTGTTTGGTTGGGCCTTTAATTATCATGCCTATCAACGTTATAAGAGATGCAGGAATAGAATATTTCWGGCAGTCGGCAGCAAATGTCCCGTTAAAAGAGTTCTTTACCTGTAGCATATMTTTCCTTATAATGTTTGCTGTTTTTGCCMGATGCCAAGCCTCAGAATCCTTTCTTTCTGCTTTTCTCACAATTCCTGCGATGTCCTGCTTCAGCACCAACAACACCTCTCTTCCTTCATTATGTGCAGTCAARTCAGGAAAAGCCACCAAAATMCTTTCTTTTAATCTGGTCGTATTTATTTTCCCTGGCTCAATTCCAAACCCCTGTGCTTTTAAATGATAAACTTTTGCTAAATCAGAAAGCTTAAGCACTGCAAATTCTTCGCATTCAAGATATTCGTCGATGTAAGCAAGGAGCTCTGCAAAGGCAAGTTCTTCAGGTTCAATTGTTGAATTGACGTTGATAGCTTTGGTAGCTAACAGTTTCAACTTTCTTGCTCGCTTGTAAAGACCAACTAGGCATTTTGCATGATACATTGCATCAGTTGCTATTAAGTCACCAACAGAAAGCTTTGCAATAAGTTTGGTATCTTGCAAAAGAATGGCACAGTCTCGCACTTTTTGGTCAACTTCAAGTGTGGAAGCAGCATGAAGGTTTATAGGACTGTCCAGTTGTTCACAAAARAAGCAGTGACTCTGTGACAGACAGCTCTGGGTACTAGATCTCCGGGAYTTGATCAGGTTTGAACTAGCTTCTCCGCTTATGAYATCGCCTTCATCCTTTTCATCTTTCTCTACTTCGCTGAGTTTTCTTTTCTTTGCACGCTCTAACTTTGTGTTGCTGAAAATGTCTCTGCAAGACTTGTGCCACATTGCTTTCCTTTCACGAAGAGTTTCTTCTATTCCTTCACCTTTATCTASAAGGGAAACATTTAAATTTGCTGGGGTAAATCCCAGGCTTTGAAATGCCTCAACATTAGTTACAAACGAGGTGTATCCAGCACCAGCATCTTTTCTCTTCGAATTTGCAGGGCACTGTAGATCTTCTTTTGCCCCTTTTTGGCAAATGATACAACTTTTCCAATCCATTATTAATATACTGAAACCTAAATCAAACTTCAGCTAAATCAGTCGAGGAGAATAGAGACTTAAACTGGAAAAAACGAGCTCATCTTTATAGACTGTAAGTAATCATGGTGGCTGCCATCTTGAAAACCGTGAGTAGCCTAGGTTCTAACCGCAAATTTGGGTTGGCGCCATATCCAAAATTGTTTCTCTTAGCGTTATTAGTAATCTGGCCAAGTTTCATGCTTTTATCATTAAAGTGAACAATTCAGCATTTTTTTGGTTGATAACAGCTGGACTATAAAATGCATCTAMCGTAGAAAACATTTTGTTGGTTTAATTTTCATGAAACTTATGATGCATATATATTTATATAATAGTTGGGATACTATGCGCGTGTTGATTGGTCGAGAGCAATTGTGTGTTATTAGAGAACAGACGACAACTTTATTTGTCCACTCTCTTATAGGATTTACAGCATTTGTTTTGTATATGTACAATATAGATAATTTATGAATAAATCTAAATAGTATAAAAACACAGTTATTTATAGTATATATATACTAAGGCAGATGAATAAAAGGACAGTACAGGTTGTCTGTAATAACCACAAGGCTAAGTAAAAACAGACAGCCCGTTCTATGTTATTAAGGAAAGATAATTTTAAGTCAAGTTAGATGGCACAAAGTGTAGTGTTTGTTACTGATATAATATTTTTGGCACTAAATAAAGTTATAAATAACAGAGGCACAGATGACGTCAGAACGGTTATTTCAAACATTTAGCACATGGTCAGTCGCCATTTTGAACAGGAAAAAAAACAGTGAAAAGTATAAATTGTTTGATTTAATTTATTATTATATTAGTATAGGTAATGACATGATTTCGAGTTCAATTTGGAATTAATTTGCACGAGTTTGTTTTTCAAAAAGTCCTTAATGGCTGAACGCAATTTGGGCTTTTTGAAAAACAAACCAGAGCAAATTAATCCAAATTGAACGAGAAATCATCTTATTACCTTTTAATAATATACATTAAAAACTTCAACCAAATTAGATAGAAAAAAGACGTGTTGGAAAAAATGCACGAAGCGAAGAACTCGTTTGTTTTGCGATTATTTTTGTGAAGAATCGGTTTACAAAATAATATCTTATTTACAAAACAGGAAAGAAATATGAATAACAAAGATTACTTTTTGATCTTTAAAAAGTTAAAACATGTTTAGAAATCATTTTTTTCATCTTCAAGACTTCAAATATTTGGAATTTTTTTTGAGAAAACAAGTAAGCATATTGCGAAGAAATTCTGCAAAACTTACATGAATCATCGAATAACCTCTTTTTTCAATTCCTAAACACTCAAAGGAAAGTTGAATAAGCTGCTTTCTTCGTACAGAAGTGTTATTTACCTCTTTACGGATAAGGTATGCGAAAGCTCTTGAAGTTTCAACATCAAGTTTCAACGTCTCTCGCTTCGACTTTCGCGTCAAGTGACCTTAAACAGCTGTAAAATGGCCCGACTAATGTTTTCTTTCCTTTTTAATTCTCAAATAACAAGAAGCGAGTCCTCCTTTTGACATTCTCAACCTTTTTGCTGGTTTTCAGCTGATGAAGCTTGACGTTTTTAGCATTTTTGAATCCACCTTTAAGATGAAAATCCGCCATCTTGAAATTTCTGAGAAATTTCAGAGGGAAGTCTGTTCTGTTGCTATAGTAACTGCTATAATCTGATTGCTTAATTCAATTTCTATTGTTTTTTAGCCAATTAGAATCCTAAAAATTTG